ATATATATTAATATTATAAATAATTTACATTATATATTTTATTATATGTTTTCTTAATTAATTAATTTTTTTATTAATTATTTTAATTTATTATTTATATTCATGATACAAATTATAAATAATTCAGGTGTTTACCTAGTTTAAATGTTACACCTTAAAAAAAAAAAACTCAAGTACAACAAAAAGTTAAAACTAAATTTTTATAATACATTCTTTTCAATTAAATATTTTATTTACTATTCTAAATTCTTTTCTTTTTTATAAATAAAAATATAGAAAATATATTAATAAAATATATTATTTAATTAATTATAAATAAAAAAATATAAACAAAAGATAATATTATTAAACGTTGTTATAAACGTAAATAATGAAAAAAAAATTGAATAAATATTTGATTTTAATTTTATTCATTTGAAGAAAAGGGATGGTGGGTCGGTCGGTCGGTTGATCGGTCTTTAATTGAAATTGAATAAAAAATAAAATGTAAAATTGAAAATTGTAAATTATTTCTAAAAAGGGTTTGCGTCGGGGGTTTCGTCTAAATAAGGGCAAGGGATCATCGGCACTTCTCGACGATATTATTACTAAGTGATAATTAACCTCGGTGTCATTTTCTCAAGGCACCCTTCCTTCTTCTGTTCACCCCTTTTCCTTCTTCTCTTCTTCCCCCGTACACCCCCGTACACCCCCGTACACCCTCGTACACTTCCATATCCCTTATTTTCAAGCGTTCACTTTTCTCCAGGGTAAACCGAGCTTAAATTGAATCCGTTTAAAATCGTACCACGTTGGATCAAAGGAACAAGGGTTGAAGGGATCATTTGTATTCGTTCGTTCATCGACAAAGAAAAGAAAAGAAAAGAAAGAAAAAAAAAAAAGAAAAAGTAGAAGAAGATAATTCGATGCAAAAATGCAAGAATCAAATCGATTTTCGAATGTTAAAAAGAAATGGAAGGGAAAAACAGAAAAAGGGAAGAAAATAATGTGAGACCCTTTAAGAAAATTTATTCAAGATTTTTCAATCTGTGGCAAACGAGTTATTGCAATTAGAGGGTTTTTATGTATAATGTATAATAAAAAAGGTCGAACGGGGTGATGGGTTAATTGAGAGAAAATTTATTTGCAACTTTTGATGTATTATTCTATTATTTATTTATTTATTTATTTAATAATGATTTTGTAGAGATAAGTAAAAATAGTAGGATGGTATAAAAATTCATAGTGATTCATGTTCGAGTCATGAATCGTTAAACAAAAGTACCGATGACGCACGAAAAGTTTTTCATTCTGCGTGTAAAGAATTCAAAGAAGAACTTGAACTTTTGATATCAACATTGGTAGGAAGTATAATAATTATTAATAATTTTATTTAATAATAATAATGTATATATTAAGTAGTAATAATTCTATAATGATAATAATAATTATTATATTTAATTATTATATTAATTATTATTTTTAAGAATAATAATATTACTAATATTATTATTATTATTAATAATAATAATAAATTAAATTTATACTAATATTAAAATTATTATTATAATATTATTATCATTACTATTATAATATTAGGTTAGGAAATAAATCATTGCTGATTTTAAAAAGTCATCTATCGACAAAATTTGCAATCACTTAGTTGCCAACCAAATACTATTAATTATTATTAGTAATAATAATATATAATATAATAATAATAATAATAATATTACTATACTATCATTTGGTAAACAAGGCCCAAAATTTGAAGTGGGGGAAAAGAAAAGAAGAAAAAAAGATTGCAAAATGAATAAAAAGTGACAAGTTTAAGTTTAGTTGTCAATTACAAAATATTAAAACAATAGTTAAATTTCCTACGTAAAGTAAAATAAATAAATAAATAAATTGTGAACATTTAGTAACAAATTGTTCGAACTAGTTAGTAAATAATCCTAGAATTCTAGTAGAAAAGTGAAGGATTATCTTGACCTGGATTTGATTCACTGGACAGTGATGGTATTAAATAAAGTATTCATTGTTTCCGCTAGGGATTTTCTAGAAAATGTCAACGTGGGGGGAAGTTGGTCATTCTAAAATATAATACTATATATATATATATACACGTAGGTTATGTCACAGGTATTTTAAAAAAAAGAAAAATAATACAACGTCAACGACAAAAAGTTTGTTCTCTTAAAAAGAATTTCCAAAATTTCTTAAAACAAATATTACATTGTTTGGTAAATTGTTTGATTATTTGTCTAATAATTATTTAATAATTGTTTAATTTATAAAAGTATCAACACACATACAGGAAACGTATGAAAATCATCAAAATGAGTATAGTTACTTTTTGTTTTTCTAGTTCTTTTAAGATGCAACACACAACACAACAACAATAAAAACAACCAGTGTACAAAATTCTCATTTAAGATAAAAACTTTTGAATGACCCAGTTCTTCAAAAGAGACCCTTTACCCTCTCCCTTTCACCCCACTACCACTACAACTACCACCACAAGTAACATCTTGTTGTTAGTGTTTACCTATTCGACATTTGTAGTATGCTTATACAGCATTCAAGTAGACCATGTAACACTGTAATGAGACACACGTGCATTTACGTACAGAGCTAATTAAACTGATACCTCCAGGCAATCATGACAACATAACAACAATGAAACTATCCAATGATATTAATAGGTATATTAGATTTCTATCGAATATATTTAAACTATCATTAAACTAATCCTAACGATGTAATAATAAAACTAGTGTGTTATTTTTTTGAGGTTAGAAACAATGTTAAATTATTTGAAATTATTTTCAAATTAATTTCTATTTAAAAATTTATCTTTTCATTTGGTTTTTTTTTTTTATAGGAAGGGGTTAACATTTTTATTTAGTTTAAAAATTTCCTAAGTTTTGCTAATGTTAAGTTATTTAAAATTATATTGAAATTAATTTATCTTTTAATTTGATTTTTTTTTTTAAGTAGGGGGATTAACAATTTTATTTAGTTTGAAAATTTGCTAAATTAGTTAATGTTAAGTTATTTAAAAAATTTTGTAAATTAATTTGTAATTTCAATATGAATAATAATATATAATTTTAACACAATTTAAACAATATCATTTTTAATAACTGTAAAATTAATATTTATTAAATTTTATTTCAGTTTAATGACAGTTTGAAAATTATTATTTTATTTTGTATTTATTAATATTGTTTATAACTATGTGGATTCTGTAATACAATGGTGTTGGTTGTACTTTTTTTTTTTGTTAAACGTACTGTCAAATATTTGTACATGAGTATTAAGTTATCTTCTTGTCAAAACTATAGGGATTTGAAATAGACAAGAGTTACGAACACGGTTACAGGTTTCTTGTTGTCCGAATTATATCAGAACGATATTGTGGATGCAAACGTAAATCCAAACAGATAGTATTATTAATACCTTATCTAAAATTAAACAAATCTAAAACGTACAAATTCGTCCACATTAACATGTTATCAACCAAAACACTCATAATGATAAATAACTAATTTTCAAATGTGTTAAAAACAAAAACACATTAAATAAATGACGATTCAACCTTTTAAAAATAAAACCACCCCAAAAAATATCCATTTAAAAAACGAATAACGATCTGAACCATAAGTCTTCATTGAAGGACACAAAAACAAATTTAAAATATTATCTAAATTTGTATACCAATAAAAAAAAATATAATCGAATAAAAAACGTAATAATATAATAATCAACAATATTTATTATCCCCAATCTAATAATTTTTTTATTCCAATTATTTAAACTTGAATTAAATAAAACAAAACAAAAACAAACCTGTTTTTGAGATTATATTTATCTTCAACCAAATCATTTTTTGTTCCAATTGTTTAATCTCGAATTAAATAAGAAAAAAAAAATAAAACAAACGTGTTCTTGAGGGTTTATTTATCACCAAAAAAATTATTTTTATCCAATTGTTTAAACTTAAATTAAATAAAAAATAAAACAAACCAGTTTTTGAGGTTATATTATCCACAACCAAATTATTTTGTTTCCAATTGTTTAATCAAAAAAAAAAAAAAAAAGAAAAAACAAGAAAACAAACCTGTTCTTGAGGGTGGAAGTAACAATCCTTGGACTTCCTCGAGGGGCATGGCCTGTCCGTGTTCCCGATAACGATGAGGACGATCCCTCATACCTTGTTTTCGTTAAGAAACACCTAAACAGCTTGCCGTTGAGGTATCTTTTTGTTTGAATACTCTTTCCCCAGGTGTTAATCCTTCTTGTTTTTGTCCTCGTCCTCGTCTTTGTTCTCTTCGTAGTCCTCCTCCTCCTCGTCGTCGTCGTCCTTGTCGATCGACGGGATAGACGATAGGAGGTTGTCCTTGTTCTGAAGATTATTGGTTGGATCGGGATTGGATCTGGGATTAGGTTTAGGTTTAGGAAGCTGGGTGGTGAGTCCTTAGGGACTCCTGGTGATGACGGTGGACGGTGATAGAGCGTCATCGCCCCGCCGTCGCACCTGAGACCATAACCCCCGTTATCACCAAAATCAATCAATTCTCTCCAACTTGGAAGTAAATCTTTTGTTTTCTGTTTTGTTTTATTTTGGTTTTCTCTTGTTTTTTTCTTTTCTTTTTTTACCAGAGAATTTTAGGTCTTACTCTTTTATCAAAAGACCCAACCACAAGGAAACCAATCCACTCAAACTGTGATGTGTTTAGTATTTCAATCTGAAACAAAAACATATGATTCTATCTTAAGTATATATGTTTAATATATATATAGGAGATTGGGGTTTTTTTAATTAATATTATTTATTTACTTTTAAATTTTATTTATAAACTAATACCCACCACCACCACCACTAATAATAGTAATACTAACATATATAAGTATATGTTATTCAATAGTATTTATATTTGAAACAAAAATATGTAATTCTATCTTAAGTATATATGTTAAGTATATATATAGTATATATAAAGATATTGTTTTAATAATTATTGTTTATTTAAATAAATGGAATGTTGTTAATTTGTTTGCACAATTTGTCAATGAAAATATATAACTATATACTTTTAAAGTAATACTAATAATACTAACATATATATTATTTATTATTTAATTGAATTTGTAAGAATAATTATATAGTATTTTTAAAATGTAGATCATTTATCCTACTTTATCAGGTATCCCAGTTAATATTTCTAAACCTAAGCTAACACGTACACAATAAAATATACAATATACAATATACWATATTGTAAATTGTGTGGACAGGTTAGTAATGAAGATGCACAAAGTAATTTAATTGAATTCATAAAAATGATCATATATAATAGTATTTTAGAAATGTAGATTATTTATCCTACTTTATCTGAGGTATCCTAATTGATATTTCTAATCCTAAGATAACATCTACATGATGAAATATACAATATACAATATACAATATTGTAAGTTGTAGGGACAGGTTAGTAATGAAGATGCACAAAGTAATTCAATTGAATTTATAAAAATAATCATCTGTAATACTTCATAATTAAATAGATTATTTATCCTACTTTATCAAGTATCTAAATTGTTATTTTTAACCCTAAGCTAACACCTACATGATTAAATATACAATATATCATATACAATATTGTAAATTTGTATGCACAGGTTAGTAATGAAGATTCACAAAGTAATTCAATTAAATTCATAAAAATAATCATCTATAATACTTCATACTCCAATAGATTATTTATCCTACTTCATCAGATATTCCAAATGAAATTTGTACATGGGTCAGAACCCTAAGCTAATACGTACATCATTAAATATACAATATTATAAATTTGTATGCATAATTATGAATAAACTCATTCAAAGTGATTCAAAGTAAAATTCATTTTTTCATTGAAAGTAAATTTGTAAATTTCAATTTCAAAATTCAATGATACTTCATGTGTTCAATTATCAATTGATACTTCAAATGTTTCATTTCAAATTTATTAATATATTAAAGAAACTTAAACGCACAAACACAAAAGTATACACACACAGATAGAGGAAAATGTTTATAAGTTGGATATAAAATCGATTTAGAAAAACGTGTGTCGCGGTTAGTGGGTCTAGTTCGATAAAATTGAACACTACTTAGATTACAATGGAAGAAACTAGCCTCGATCATATGTCCTCGTCTATATTCTATGCACTACTATACTACTCTTTCTCTATATTATCGTGACACCTGGTATATCTCTGTACTTTTATTTTCTTTACTTTACTTTACTTTACTTTACTTTACTTTACTTTTTCCTTTTATTCCTTTACCAATGTCCAAGTATAGTTTTCCCTTATTATCGATCGAGCTACACAATTTCCTAGTAACTCGATGAACCCGTAAAACCCCGTGGTTTTGCACGTGAGTTGTATACCACAACAGGAACAAAATTTCATTATTATTATAAATTATATATATGCTATAATCATTTAATTTGATTAATTATTCTCATATGCATCATTTCGATCAAAAACATAGTATTGATAAGGTAATTTGTAACAATAATATTTATTGATTTATATTTTAGTATATTTAGGTTTGAAATGTTGAAATATTGGATAATATTAGTTAAACAATTTTTAATATTTTTTATAGATAATACAATGTTTGGTTAAACATTTAAAATTAAAAAAATATCTTATATGATAATGTAGTTTATAAAAATAGTATTTATTGATTTATGTTTTATTATATTTAGGTTTTTAATGTTTAAATATTGGATAATATTAGTTAAACAATTTTTAATATTTTTTTATAGATAATACAATGTTTGGTTAAACATTTAAAATTGAAAAAATATCTTATATGATAATGTAGTTTATAAAAATAGTATTTATTGATTTATGTTTTATTATATTTACGTTTTTAATGTTGAAATAATTAATACCATTAGTTAAACAATTTTAAATATTTTTTTTTTTAATATTAATATAATGTTTATTTAAAATGTTGAATTGAAAATATCTATTTGTTAATTTCAATATAGATATACTTTTATTATTATTATTATTTATTTTTTTTGATATAAAATATATACATAACTAATACAAATCTTAAATTAAAGATTTGTAATTAAAAAAAAAAAATGAATTTATTTTATTATTATAAAATATTATATTAATTATTATATATTATAAATTATTATAATAATATTATAATATTATTATAAAATTGTATGAAAATTTTACAATGAAATATTTGACACATATTTTCGATATTTATAAAACAATTGAAATTCACTTTTTACATTAATACAATCACATGCATGAATTAACATTAAAAATAAACATTTTTAATAATATTATTTTTATATTGAATATACATAAAAATAAATTTAAAAGCGCGTTGATATTATTTACAAATCAATCGTAATATACAGGGTGATTCATAAATTCTTGCCATCAAAATACCTCCGAAAGTATGATAGTACCATAAAAGCGAATGAAAAAACAAAGTTGCATGAAAAATTCAGGATTACAATTTGATATTAGTATTTTTTTTTTCTTAGATTGAGTCATTTTTTATATTTATTGGTCAACTTTGTTTTTTTTTAAATACAATGTTATATTTAAATACTTATTTTCGGATAGTGGTTGACAAAACAAATCCAATGACGTGCAACATTAAATACAAAACCTGACAATGACCAATTAGTCCATTTAGTAATTCAACCAAGTTGTTGAAACAACTAAAGCATGACGTAACCCTGACACAACCCTGACGCAACCATGACGAGAAAAAACTGTATTGTGGCCAGCTTGTTCGCCAATCCGAACCTTCGTTGATCTTTAAAAATATTAATGTTACACATCATTGGATTCGTCTTGACAGCCGCTATCCGAAAATAAGTATTAAAATATAACATTGTATTTAAAAAAACAAAGTTAATCAATAAATCTCGAAAATGGCTCAACCTAGTCAAAAAAATACTAATGTCAAATTGTAATCGTGAATTTTTCATGCAACTTTTTTTATTATCAACTTTTATGGTACTTTTATACTTTTGGAATTATTTAGGTGACAAGTGCTAGTGAATCACCCTGTATATGAATGCCTCATGTAACGATACACATGTATAAAATGATTGAATACTTTACTTGATATTGTATATCACGAAATATATTTATTTTATACGATAGGTCGATGAAAATGTTAGTTTCATGGATGAAGTTTCATGTAATTCGAAATGTCAAAAGTATTTCTCTGTCGTATCATTCCCAAAGCTCGTTTTATTAAGAGGAAATTCATCTATATACGTATATATATATATATATATATATACAGTTAAGCCTGATAGCGTATACGATTTTATACCGGATGCGTAAATTTTATAACATCTGCATTGCAGTCGTTTTTTAGAGAGAAAGAAAATAAAAAAAAAAGGATAAAGAGAAGAAATAAAATATCCCTAGTCATAAAGTTGAACCATTTCGTATATAGTCACTTCTTTGTCTAATTCTCTATATATTTTTTTCTCTTATTCCATCAAATACTAGAATGTATCCCTAGGATACTATAAATTCTACTACTAGGTACTTTATTAGAACATTTCTAAGATTTCAGGGATAAGTTATTATCGTTTTATATATAAAACAACTTCAATAATTTTTATTCTAAGGAATATTTTTGTATGAAAAATATATATTAAAAACATTTTGTGTTTATTTTTTAATTAATTTTCTTGAATATATTTAAAACTTTCGAACAAATAAAATGGAAACAAAAATTGTAAATTTCTACAGTACTTTTTGATTTATTAAAAATAATTTTTTTTTTTTATATAATATTTTCAATATGTTATTTAAAAATTATTTATTTAATTTGTTTTTAAATATTTGTAAAATAATTTTTTATCGATTAAATGTATTTAAATGTTATATTAAAACTTGAAAGTGTAATTATAAATTATTTAAATTTTTTAATAATATAATAATAATAAAATAATAATAATAATAATAGATTAAGATAAGATAATAATAATAATAAATTTGTTAATAATTAAATTTATGTAATTTAATTTATAAATAATAATTTAAAAATATAAAAATAATATAATAATTACATTTATATAATTTAATTTATAAATAATAATTTAAATATATAATAATAATATAAAAATGCAATTTATATTATTTAATTAATAAATAATAATTTAAAAATATAAAAATAATATAATAATTTATCTTAGATAATTTAATTTATAAATAATAATTTAAATATATACTAATAATATAATAATTACATTTATATAATTTAATTAATAAATAATAATTTAAAAATATACTAATAATATAATAATTACATTTATATAATTTAATTTATAAATAATAATTTAAAAATATACTAATAATATAATAATTACATTTATATAATTTAATTTATAAATAATAATTTAAAAATATANATAATTTAATTTATAAATAATAATTTAAAAATATACTAATAATATAATAATTACATTTATATAATTTAATTTATAAATAATAATTTAAAAATATAATAATAATATAATACGATGATATATTATTACATAAAATATGAAATATTATTATTTAAATGTTCGAACAGAAATAAATCTTTTTAAAATAACAATTATTTATAGAAAATAGAAGAAGATTAGTTGAAGAAACTTGTTTAAAGATGAATAATATCGATAAAAACTTAATAATGATTTGATGAACA